TCGTAATTAAACAAATCCATTAAACGTCAACTGCATAAAGCGCTGAAAGGAAAAAGTAAAATATCTAGCATTTAATTTGCCTATATAAAGAGGGCAATAAAATTGCTCAACGGGACATGTCTGAATGATGTGACATTATTTCATAAGTCTCGAGGAAAGATATGAAAATAGTGAGGTCAGAGATTACTTAAATGTTAGCCTAAATCCAAAAACATTACTTAAAAAGAGTACTTTTATGAATATCTGAAAATAAGCATATTTAAGGCCACTATAGACACCTCCTACTCACATTGCTGCTCTGCGTAAATGTTATGCCTAACTCATTGATGTTTTTGTTTTCAACGGCGTAAATGAAGAAAGCAAACTTGAGATAATCTCATCACAGATTTCTTTCATTTCATTCTGGATTAGATCCTCCTGATACCCAAAGAGGGGGAAACTTCTCTTTTACCATGCAACGCAGTCCGATCCTAGACATCATAATAATCACGTTCGGTTGTTTATGTCTAAACGGAGAATTGGTTTAATCCTCCATACCTTTCACAAGCAGCGTGCGCCGGGGCGCGAAAATCCGATTCCCATGTCTCGACAATGCTTTTCCCTCCGCGAAATCACAACCTTCCCTCCCGGCAGCCGCTATTGGTGCAGATGGCACGACTAGAAACAGACACACTTCATTGGTCAATCCAACAAATTTTCCAGACTGAAAGATGATATCAAGGCATTCCTTCGCCGGAAGGTTAGTGAGATATTCGTAAAAATATTCAAAGACAAATATGAAACAAATTTAGAAATATAGCTTGCAGAAATATATTTGGGGAACATTGATCATACTTTTAAGCCATATTTTTGAGAATATGATATATTCTTTTCTGGTGAACTTCCCTACCTACTTTTTATTAAAGACCCCACATAGCAAGGCCGAACCTTTGGATGTCGAGTTCACTACGACACTCTTAAAATATAAATTAATTGGTCACGTGGCAACTTGGTTGCCATTTTTGAGAAGTTGATTAAAATCAATATCAACGGTAAGAAACCAATTAAAGGCCTATTTCCAGAACCTGATTTTCGTTTTTTCAAAAGATGATGACCAAGACATCATTTTATACATTCAGTAAATTCACATAATTATTTCTTAGACCTGCCATCCAGACGATACAGTAGATAGAGGAGCCTATTTCGATACCGAACGGCCCAGGTTCGTATCCCGAAGAAGGCACGTAGGCCGCAAGGCAAAAAATCTTCTTTTTTATATTTATCTTTTTTGCGCAATTTGTTTCAGATTTCTCAAATCTAAAACATTTATTGCGCATTGTGTTGGCAATTCAAGCAAGTCAGAATGAAAAGTGAATGTCTTTCTAATGAAATACCAATCTGAAGATCATATATTTCTAATTCAAAATAAATAATATTGATTTTTTAGGATACAGCATTTGAATACTAATAAAAATTAATATAACTCTATGGAAGTTTGCGTCACGAGTATCAAGTTTCGGAAGCTGATCCAGTAAATAATCAAGATAGGTTAATTCCTTTCAAAGAGACTATATGCTGAAACTGAGAAAACTCTTCAAGATAGCCCATATTGCAAAATATTCAATTCAGAGCTCTTGCAGAAAATTTCCTAAATTTCTAAAAATCAAAATTTTACTACTCGATTAAGTTATGAATGATCACAAAAAGAACAGCTTGATTCGATTTTAATAAAAGATTTAGTGTTTTAGAATTATATGAACTACCTATGTATAAAGTTAAACTAAGATGTGTATTGGAAGTTTTAAATATGTCATGCGTACAATCAAATTTTAAGGTTTCTCTCAAAATCGTTCAACTCAGAATTTTCTTAAAAATTGGAAAACTATTTTATCACATTCATATTTAATTCCCATGGCTTTTGTAAATACAGTAAAGCCTCGCCGAATGCTGGTGGTCATTAACACATTGCATGTGCGGCAAAGCCGAGAACGGATTAGGTATATTTCAAATTAAGAAAGTATGTATAATTTATACAAACTTAAATACTATTTTAATAAGAAGGGGAAAATGAAACAAAAGTTAATTGAAAGCATTTCTGTTGCTGCTTAAAAAAATAGGTACATGATACAATTCTTCTCTTGAGATCGCTAGTGATATTCGCTTTGGGCAATGTCTGACGCAACTTATTAAACGCTTCACGGTAAGGAATGTAAAGTTTTCCATTACATAAAGAGTCCTCTTCTTTCTTCATTTGGGTCCATCTCCATTGCAAAATCAGAAAATTCCTTTTCTTTTTTTAATACTGTGTTTAACATCTTATAAAGTCCTTTTAGCGTCTTCACTAAATCAGTTTTTACCATCTGCTAGTGTTATAAGATCAGCCAATTCTTCCTTTGTTATTTTACGACCGTCAATTTTGAATTAATTAGATTTATTTTTGGTAAATTTGACTTCTTTTTTAAGTACAAAACTTACCTAATGTAACCTTACAGGAAGCATTCTTAGTATAACTTGCAAAAAAGGGATTGTTTGTATAATTTCCGTAATATTTGCCATTCATAACATGTTGTCACTGTACTCTAGACCTATCAACACCCCATTGATTCAAACCGAAAACAACAAGTTTCCTATTTTTTATACTAAAGTATTCATAATTTTAGCAGTAAAAGCTGAAAGTTATAATTCAAGTGCAAATGTCAGAATTATAAAAATAGTTAAACTAAATGCTGAACTGACGAAATAAAATTCATTAAAGTGATTAAAGTGATTATATTTTAGTAATAAATACATAATTAAAGGCTAGGATTTTATAGACTATTTTGTTCTTAATCGTAATATGTGGTATTTTCTTATAGTAAAAGGATCTTGCTTGAATACTGTTGTTCCTAAGCTAAGGATTAATCTAAATCGTGTAACTTGAATTTTAAAACATAAACAGATTGTGCAATTGCTGTCAACCCAATTCCGAGATTGCACTATTATATAAATCTCATGAAATACTTGATTCTTTATTTTTGAAAAGATTTACAAAAGAATAAAATAGCTGTTGGAGCCTGAAAAGTGAGTATTTTATTATGGCTAGATACATGAAGGCTAAAATAGGGCGTTATAGAAGATGTTTATGTAAAAATATTCCGGACTAAACTAGCATTAAAGAAACATAAAATTAAACAGCTCTAAAAGTTTTATTTTACTCCGTTTTACTACAAAGTATGGTATTTAGTCTCCTTAATTGTCTCCCTTCAGCCCCACCAGTGATCGAAAGGAAAAGACCGCTGAATACTGGTCATTCGATCTGGGTCCAGTTAGTTCCTTTCTTCCATATACATTATCTTTAAAAATGTGGAATCTTCTTTGGGTGGAATCATCTTTTATTTCGACTGATATAGCTTCATGTATTGGCGAGTATGACAAATTTGGTCCAGTGTTAGCATGATATGAGATGATTTCCGTGATCATAAAAAATATACAAACTTAAAGATGACGAAAAAAATACCTCGAGCAATAAGAGATCTCATTTAATTCTTACAGCAAGCAACTTATTATTTCTTCTTGTAAATAACCTTACACGTTATTCTCTGCATTCAAACGCCCTGCTGAATTAAGCTTACTTTGGAAATCAAGAATGACTATTTGAAAGGACGTATATTCCGACCATCTTATATGCTCCTTCTGCTTAATAATTGGCCTTAGATTAAGTTTTTCATATACTTATAACAGCTCCCAGTGGCCGAGCAGAATCGCTGAACACTGGTAGCTCGGTTCGATATTCGAATCCAGCCGCACAGGCAGGCTGCCCGGGGTCCATTTCCCCCTGTCTAACGTGTATTTGAGCCAGTTTTCCTTAGCTGGTCCTCCACGAAGGCTTCCCTTCCATTAAGCAGATAGCCCTCCAATGTTTTGTCATGATTAAATAAAGCAAACCAATCTTTAGATTAACACTTTTCGTATTATTTCTTGCTTTTGCTGAGACAAGCACTAAAAACTAAAATTCTTTTTACTTGAAAATATCATCTCTTCCTCAATTTTTATCGGCTGATTTGGATTTCTATCCATTTTTTTGCTTAAAAAGAGCAATTATTGTTTCTTTCTTTTTTTCTTGATATAAACGATTTTAACTTTTCTAACATAAAAAAGCATTTTATAGACTTCCTTTTGAAATTTACACTCTTCACTAGCTAAATATCTACTTTCAAAAATTTAGATTTGAACTCTTGTAATTTAAATAATGGCTTGGCTAGAATTTTTATGAAATAACTGTAAATCTAAGAATTTACGTCTGCGATCGCATATTTTGAAATTATTATATTAAATTAGAATTTCAATCCCATATATGCTACTGTAGTAATATGGCAGTATCTTATTATCGCCTACGTTCGCAAGGCTACCTAAGGTTACAGATAAAAGTTGCTCCAAAATAAGTTTATAATTTATTAGCATCTCACTTTCTTTCAGTAAAAACAAAGAATATATGACTGAATAAGATCCCCAAAAAACTCAATGTGCAGAGCCCTAATAAAATTTTATCCAACCCTACGTCTATTCACAAAGTTTTATCTTTTAACTGCTGTCAAATTCCCTATGCAACAAGCTTCGCTCCTTCCTTAAACCTATTTCACAATAACATCTTCAATCGCAACGACTCTCATTGAATTTTTTATATATTCAGTGGCTATAAAGATCCGTAAAGAGCAATTACATTGATTATTATGTTTTCTAAGTGATAAACATCTCATTTACTTCTTCCCTAAAAACAGCATCGAAAAATTATGAATTTCCAAAATCTTTTAATTATTTACGATTAAAAGATTTTTTTTTTTTTTTTTTTTTTTTTTTTTTTTTTTTTGTTTCCTTTTCATATAAATACATTAATAGTTCTGTCGGTTTAAAAATTATGCCTTCCAAAATCTAGACATTGATTTTCTGAAACGAAAATGTTCATTACCCTCCTCAATAACTGAATTTATTAAGAGAACTAAAAATTCATATTCTTTTTGTTTGTTTCTTTCAGATAGTAAGAAATGGAGGAAGACGTAACGGCTGATCTGCAGACAGCGGTACTTTTTGTGTTGAGCTTTCTTGGACTGATTTCTAATGGATTCATATTTTTGTTGCTGTACAAAAAACGAAATATGAGAACTTTCTCCAACAGATTCGTTCTTAGTCTGACGTCTAGTCACCTTTTGCAATGCAGTGAGTATATATTGAACTCTTATACATTTTAGAAGAATTTGCTTATGGTTATGAGTATATATATATATATAAAGTAAGAAATTTAGAACTAATATTTCACAAAGACCATAAATTAAAATTTGAAGTAGGATTTTGCTTGTTTGAAATGTTTTGGTTTTAGCATTTTAAAATTCTTTGTTGCATTTATATGATTATTTGAAATTTATTAATTATGAATTTCAAATTCTGATCTTTAAGAAATATTAGTTCTAAATTTTTTACTTCTTGTCTTTAATGATAATTTTTCTGCAGCCTAATGAGCGAAATTGCTAGGCATGTTTGTGTTTTGTTTTCAAAAGAATTGTTTTGTAATTATATATATATACACTTAAATTCGAGAATGTATATGTAATAAAGACTTGAAAAACATTTCTTGCGTATAATGTTGCTAAGATATAATATAAATATTGATCAATTAGAATTATACCGCCAATAGAAAAACATATAAGAAAATAAGCAATATTCATTTTCTAAATGGAGTTTACTTAAATTTTACAAAAATTAATTTTTTTAATTTAACCTAAAAATGGAGTCAAAATAATATTTTTGCAAGATCATATAAGTTAAAATACAGCAGTAGAAATGATTAAAAAGTGAAGAAAGCTGTGTTATTATCTTTAGACCCTTGCGTTGTCAACAGGAGGTAAATCCTTCATATGATAATAAACCTTTTCCTATTTTATTCTGCTTCTGTAAACTTAAAATTTTGCGAGGCACTAAATTAATAATGTAAACACTTTTAGTACCACCGAAAATTAAAGTTTTCTCTCCTATAAAGCAAATTCAAAGCACGCAAACAAAAGAAAGAAATGTTATTTAATTTCAGGCATTCAGGGTAAATACTACTGCTTTCAATTAGATTAAAACTGTTAAAGTTTATAATACCATCAATATATCTGTAGAGAAAGGCAAATTTTTTGTAAATAATTGTTTGGAAGTGAACGAAGGAATTTAAATTCTTTACAAAATAAATATAGATTGCAGAGTTGAGATGAGTAATTCCCACCCATTGGGATACCTCTTACTTGTAGAAGTAATGTATCTTGAAATTTAATATCATTATGAAAGATCGAGTAATTGAGACAGCTATTACTAATTAGATGTATTCCAACTATCACAATCTAATTACTAATTAAATGTAATCCAGCTATTACAATCAAAAATGTTAAGCACACCTGGAAAACATTCTGTAAGTTCTAAAAGACTGTTATAAATTTCCTGAAGTGGTAGAGAAATGTGTAGATTGTCGAAGGTCATAGCAACTGGCATTACTTTGCTTGAGATTTTTATATTCTCTATATACATATATATGCATATTACATGTATTTATATCATATATACATATATATATATATATATATCTTTGTTACTAGCGTACAAAACCCAAATCCTGAGCTTTAAACTGACTTTTTCTAGGTCCTCATCAGAATTTAAAGATAAAAATGCAATTAAAAATTTTGCAGTTATAATTTCCTCTTTCATTCAGATTCGATATAATTTTACTTACAATGGCAAATAGTATCGGAGGTCTCTGCGCTAACCATAAACTTTCCCCCTTTTTTTATATCTGGGCATCTTTAACTATAATGAATGATATAGATGTAAGGAATCCTATTTTATGTCTAAAAGAGAAAGCGCAACAGAGGCGTTTTTTTTACCTGAGAAATGTACCACAGCTGAGAACTAACATAAAATTCGCGAAGTTATTGACAAAATTCCGAATGATGCGTATGCTCGAAATTTTGCAAAATTTGAAAAGGGAAATTATTGATGCCAAATCGGCCCTTTCTTTCTACAATGCCCTTACACGTTTTTTTCGAATAAAAGCTGAAATTAATCGGCACTGGTCTTCAATTTGTTTAATATTCTAAGGCAGACGATCAATTATTCGAAGGCCCACTAGCAATTGAACATATATGGTAGCTAAATATTGGTATTTCGACCTAAGTTCAAATTTCGGAGAAAGGGCTAACTCCTTGGGAATTTCCAATATTTTCTCGATTTCCTGCTTTAGAATCTCCTATAAAGCCAACCTTCCTACAAAGGTCTACAAAAGATCGCCTTAACTTGCTTTGTCATAATCTAATAAATTCAGAACAATCTAATAACTCTCACTGTTGGTGTTATGTACAGTTGGCTTTAAAAACTGATTTTAAATTCCACTTATGCAAGAGTTTTAATTTTAGTTGAATTTTCGCTGGAAAACCTTATTTACCGGCTTATACATGCATCAGCTTCTAATCGAAAATATACGATATTTGATCGGCAATGTTTTCAAAGAAAAATTAGAATATTTCTTATTTTTATTCGAAAGTGCTGTACTAGTAATATAACGACACAAATCATTCAATTCTTTCATAGCTAAATGGTATTAGCGTAATTTATGTTTTTTAGCTTTGGATCCCAATCTTCATACCAACCGACAAAATATATTATTCATGTGACATGACTATATTGACTTATTGAATGAATATTTTGTATGTTAAATGCTTAATTAATCATACGTGGTATTTCTAATAAAGTTGTAACTCATTTATTTTTTACCTTTCAGTTTTCATCATTCCTACCATGATGGTTTCCATTCAGGGTTGGACAGTTGACAAGATCTGGTGCAAGTTCACAGCTTCGCTCACAGTATGTCTGAATCTGGCATCGGTTTTATCCATCTTGCTCATAGCCGTTGACCGTAACTGTGCTGTCAACAGTCCACTGCACTACACTATCACTATCACAAAACGTCGAACGGGCCTGCTCATCGGGACCATCTGGCTCGTAGCCATGCTGTTCTCACTGCCAGTCCTCGTCGGCGTCATTGAAATTAGTCAAGTTTGCTTGCCTGTGAAAGGGCACAGAATAGCCAAACTTCTGTACAGTTTAACTACTACTTTTGTAGGTTTCCTTATACCCTTGCTCAGTGTGTCTTGTCTGTATTTCGCAATGTTCAGAGCTGCTGAAACTAATAATGCAAGAACAAGAAGGAACAGTTCTAATAGCAGTGTATCAAATGACGTAATAGTGAACCTCAAACCAGCCAAAAAACTTGGTGTTAATGAATATAGTCTGAGAAGGAATTATTCTTCTGATCACGTGGACCCTAATGAGCATGCTTGTTGTTTCATTGGCAAACACAAAGCAGCAGTGACGGGTTTGTTAGTAGTCATGTCTTTCATTGTCTGCTGGCTACCTTTTTTTCTGACTTTGGTATCTGAAGCATTTCTTTCCCTTCCAGAAGGAGTTTGGTTTGGTTCTAGCATAGCTGCATTTTCATCGTGCATCATCAATCCTTACTTGTACTTTTTCCGCAACAAAAATACATGGAAACAAGCAAAGAAATTAATAGGGCGCACATTTTCTCGAAACGATCAGATAATTACTAACAAGAAGGCTAAGCAGACTAAAATAGATATGTTGCCTTGTGTTTTCTCGCTTCCTAATTCCATTAGCCAAACTGTTCTGACATCTCCAAAGCCTCTTCAGAACAGTTTCTCAAACCATTCAAGCCCCGGTGATATGGGACCAAGATCAGTTGTAATCGGTTCAAGCCACTGCACAAAAATAGGAATTTTTTCCGTCGATCCTGTGAAACCTCTCTTGCATCAAGATTCGTCATCCAGCAACGATAGTAGTGATATGTGTTTGACTATTGTGATGATGGGAAGTGGCTTCAGCATTGATGAAGATTCCACCCTCTGGTACCAGCCCCTTCAAACCCAGTACAGTGAAGAGTCTATGACAGAAATTCCATTAGATGGAAATGATGTGGTTTAGGACATTAATAGCTATCGCGTCGCAGTATGTCGGAAGATAACTGATTAAATTCGTTGTAAAATCAGCTAGCTTAGATACCCATATTGACAGAAAACGTTAAGAAAAATTGACTTTGAAATGTGAAAAATACCTTAACTTCAGAATAAGATATAACTGCAACATGATGTGCACAAATATGTGAACCATTACCAGTCATTGTATTAAGTGGTTAATACTGGTATGCAGCTTTTAAAATCTTATTGTTTTACTTTTATATATTATCCTAAATGAACTTTTTTGTATTTGTTTATTTAGAAATCGCTCAAATTGTCTATACGAAGAACTTTGTTATTAATTTAAAATTCCTTTCTTGAAGTTTTTAATTCATAAATTTAATAAGCCCTAATTTCATGCGAGTTTAAAAAGAAAATTTCTAAAGAATTTTTAAAGAAGTATCATTCTGTATAAAATATTTTTTCGTACTAAAAGGAGTGTTTCCTACGGATGATACTTAACTTTTTGTTTAATTGTGTTTATTTCTCGTAAATTATTGACAAATCGGATTGGTAATCCCAATTAATAAACATGTTTTCTGCATAGAAAGGTATACTAGTTGCGAAAACTTCTAAATCTTAGTCAGGAAATATTTCTGGAAATATTTTGGTGAGGAGTTAATCATTATTTGCAAGCAAATTTTTGTTCTAATGAAGCCTGTTTATTTTCCTTTGTAAAATTAACGATTAAAATTAAATACGTGTTATAAAAATCTTTATCTCTAAAACACTTAACTAAATTTGACTCCGGATTACAGAAATAATTATTAGAATTAATCTGAGTTTTCTAATGTGTTATATCATCTTCGAAAGTGCTAATGAACTATATATTGTACAGATATGCCTTTCTTCATGCTTCTTTTATCTAGAGTATTAAGTAGCTGGATATTCTCACTGATGTGCATTTTCTATTTTCTTATTAAGGTGCTAATCATGAAGGTGCTAAGAATTTACAATCATGCTCAGCTCAATCCTTAAAAGATATGTAGAGAGACTTTTTAAGACATTTAGATCGTAGAATATTTGAGACCAGTGACAGATTTTCCGAAAATTTTATAAAGAATTAAAAGAGATTTTTAAGGGTGATGCATGCTCGTGCTCTGTCTCTCCTCTTACAGTATATTTGAAGAGTGAAAAGACTTGCACATTAAAATATAAATTTTGATGAATGTTCTAGTAGTACTATCTCTCTCACTCTCTTAAACAGAACTTTGCGTTAAAAAGAGGTATCACCTTACTTAAAATAAAATGTGTAGAATAAAAATCAGTAACTGTTTAGCTAGAATATTGTAATAGGCTCTCAAGCGTAACATATTCAGCTAATTATATTTAACTTTGATTCGATGTTATATGTTTCTGTTTGCATTAGTTGTTTCCGAAAATAGTTGCAATTTTAAGTATGATTTTGGAAGACTATTGCAATTAATATTTATATTTAACATGTAATCTTAACATCATATCTTAATTTATTACATCTCAAATTTGTCATTTTAATTGCTTCCTGCCTAAAATAATGAAGTACGTTTTATGTTTAGTTTCTCAAAATTTTGCTTCGTAAGTAAACTCTAATGATTTCTTAAAAATGCATTTCTAAGTCTTGAAATTTATTTTTCATAGGCACTAAACTTACAAAATCGTATATCAGCAGCCTCTGACAAATCTAGAGGTAAATAAACAGTTATACGTAGCTTTTAGAGAGGAGAGAAAGAATACTAATTTGGCTAACACGGAATTCCACCGATCGACCCAAAGCAGACCTGGATTTCAGAAGATAAATAATGTATGCAAAAGTTACGAGTATTTTAGTTTAATTTTGTAATTTTTATTCGCTGCCAATTCATCAGATCACCTTAGGTGTGTTATAAATAAGCACTTCTTAATTTTAGGTTAGGTAGGAATGATACAAGGTATTTTGACCCATATGCACAATTAAATGTAGAGAGTTGTCTTGTTTTTCATCGTTTGTGAAATGTATCGAGCTTACCAAAATCATTATTTTAAACTTCTTTTCCACATGTACGCACAATGATAAACTCTTTTTTTTTCTGTGGTGCTACTTTTCTGCACAAAATGGAATAATCATTTCAAAGTTGGTATTTGAACATGCAGAAAACATACGAAGGCTTAAATTCTTCAGAGCTAGTTAGCAAATCACTTTCCTTGTAAATCGCTAAATTTTCTTTACTTCTACAACTGCCAAACTGTGAGTAATATAGCATGTAAAATTGAAGCATTGAATATTATAAATGTTATTTCTTTAATGAAAATTGTGTTTGTGATAATTTTTAATACTTGAGAAGTGTTATAATGTCTTTTTACATTCCATATCTTTATACGAAGATTAAAATAAAATATATATTACAAAGCTATTATTGTTGTTTTTATTTTAGCTTCACTTTTCAAAACAAGAAAAAATGTATTTATGCTCAAATTATAAAAGTACTTAATATGTGTTACTAGAACATAACGATGTATCAATGTGTAGATAAATGATGCACCAAAGAGATCATTTATTGGGAGGAAATTTTCTGTATGCAATGTATGTTCGTCATTTTTGCAATGAACACACTCAATATGCAATACTTACTAGGATCCAACTAGACGGCATAGTGGTTAGGGAAGCCTAACTGCGATACCGAAGGGACCGAGTTCGTATCTCAGAGAAGGCATGGATGTAAAATTGTGTCTCCCTTCATAGGATGGTAGCGGTGGCCGCCTATTATGTTCCGCCTGCACAATAAAATGGCCACCACTTCTGGCCTTAATAGTGGCCATGGCCAACGCCGGTGAACGCCAATGAAATTTGATACTGGAAACATTATATCCCTTATCTAAGTATGCAGGCTGGCGGGAAGTCAAAAGAGGATTATTTTTTTTAACTGAAGGTTTTCTTCTCAAATAGCAAACTGAACATATAACAGAAAATAATGCATATCTAAACCTAACAATTGCATAATATGAAATAACCCGTATGTAAAAAATGCACAATTTCTTAAACCTTTAATTTTGCCAAGAAAGTATTAAACTTGTATGGGAAACTCAAAGAGGCTGTGGCCGGAAATGAAGCCATGTTCTATCTATTTTAATTTAAATGTCTTATTTTTATAGAAAAGCCATAAACTAAGATAGTAAAATTCAATTCTATAAATTACGAGCGTGGTACGCTATTTGTGTACTTAAAAATTAAATACGTGTTCAATTTCCTTCTTAAACTACTGTAAATAATGAATTAAATTCAATAGAATAACCTTGTGATGCCTAAAATAGCAAAATAACGTTTTTTTTTACTCCAAATATACTGCTATAAATAATATTCCTGGTAGGCTTTAATAATTTTACAACTCCGTTTATTCGAATTCTTAGCTACTCTAAACTCTAGTATCCATATTACTTATTCTTCTTCTCGAACTAAGTAAAGACTGGCCTACAGTTTTTGATAAATATATAGCTTATAAGCATTAATAGAAAAGCATTTACGATCTGCGCAATGAGCCACCTGTTTTTTTCTTCGTGAGCCCTCGCTTAGACATAACAAATACTCTGTTTTAAGAACAAGCTAAGCAAATGTAGCGAAGTTACATCATTTCCCTCTCCCGCAAGGATCCCTTCCATATTACACAAACCTACGCAAAGCAACAACCAATCGGTTACTTTCTACTAACCCTTTCAATGTATATACTATGTAGTGTTTGGGCAAGAAATTTTTACTGAGGCGAACAGTTTTTGTTTCGTCGAGTGTAAAGTGTAATATTTTGCATTATCATCTACATTAATTCTCAGTTTTCATTGTAGTATCTGTGTATATTGTCAGCGTGGAGAAAATACAATTAAACTTCCAGCACGCACGTCATGCACAAAGTTTACGACAAATTCAGTTTTCAATGAACATTTTTCGCATATCGCAGCTGTAACATCTGAAGGTCTTTTCTATTCCTCCTTTCAACCCCTCTCCACATCATGGAATGTGCCAACAAGAAGTCATATGCCCCTCCTTTTTTCCATGGTTTTTGTGCTGCGTGGCAGCTTCTTCCTAAAAGTTACGACACGAGCGTTGTCATGGGTGAAAATTCGAAAAAAATTTTTCTTCTCAACTATTTTGTAATTTTTTTGTTTATTATGTTAATATATATAAATTCGACTCTATATTTTTGTATCGGTTTTCATGGAAAAAACCTCGGTGCAACCAGCTGGTTTTGCTCGCATTCTTCAAGAATTATATGATGAAGAAAAAGAAGACAAGAAAACTTTTGGATGTGAGAACAAAAGCGGTTTGAGCGAGGAAAATATAGAGATAAATAATATCATCTGTAAATCTGAACAATAAATTTCCGATGATGATGATAACAATGATATAGAAAAAAGGAATGATTATGATATCTTCTATGCTTGTAAGGATAAATCTTATTTGCATGCACAAAAAGAAAAAAATATTTATATACATATGCACAGATACAATATTTTAAAGACACATATTGTAGCAGAATACACAGCGATGAAATATTGGCACGATAATACTTACATAAACATTTCCATACGAATACAGTTAAATGCAATGTATTGTAAGAATAAAGCAAGGTACATTATACATTATGATAAAAACACAAACTGGCAGACTGTAGCAGAATACATGGTGATGAAATACGGGCAGCATATTATTTACATAAACCTCTCCATATGAATATAGGCAAGGCTTAAAATTACTTAAAGATTAATATATTTGTGAAACGGCAGTATAAACAGTATATTATTACAGCATTAACAAAAGGAGTATATTTAGAGGGGTAAATCTTACAACAAAAAGCTATAAATGGTTGACTAACTGCTGAAATCTTAAAATGTTCTGTAAGTAATAACGGGATGTAAAACACAAGGTCATAGTCAATGCGAAAGATGTTTCAAAAATACATAATGAAATACAAATGCACATAGTTGCTAGCTCTTTTCTGAGAGGAAGTGAGGGAAATAGAA